ATACATAGTTACTATAAAAATATATATACGCTTTAAATTACTAAAAATTATAAATAAATATAATTATATAAGATACTAAGGGTAGGCAGGTTAAAGTAGTAAAAGAATATATTTAATAAAAGATTAAATAAATTCTTAAAAAGACGTAGTAGTAGCCTCTAGAGCTATATAGAATCTAGCACGTAACTATAGCTAGCCTAACTATATTCTATAAGACCTCTAGTAGAAGTAGGTGTAATATAGCCCCCCTTCTTCCTAAGAGCTGTTCTAGCCCTCTAGAAGGAGAATCTCTTAGATCTACGCTTATTAGTGCTTCTTACTTCTTTATCTAATAAAAGAAAAGAAAAAGTACTTTAAGATTAAAGCTTCTAAAAATACCTATTTCTAAGGAAAAAATAATTTCTAAGAGAAGAAGCTTAAAGATTAGATAGTAGCCTTATATTCTATAGATACCTATAGCTATAGTAGAGGGTTTCTATAATTAATTTAGCATTATAGGATTTTTCCTAATTATACTATTATAAAAAAGTAAGAGTAAAGATATAATAAATTATTAAATTATATATTCTCTTTCTAGTGCTAGCTAATGTCTCTATATAGTTATTCTAATTTAAATAATTTCTATTTGCTTAAACATTAATTTTAGGTTCTTAATATTAATATTTTTAAGTTTTTACTATCCGTTTTTACTATTATTTTATTTATAATAATATATTTTTATATTCTAGTTCTCCAGTTTTACTATTATTTTATTATTTAAAATAATATATCTTAGGATTCTAGCTATTAGTTTTACTATAATTTTATTATTTAAAATTATAAATTTTTAGATTCTAGTTACTAGTTTTACTATTATTTTATTATTTAAACTAGTATTTTATATTAGTTTTATTATTATATTAATAGTTAAAGACTAACACTTTATAAATATTTTAAAAAGTTTTTTCTAACTTTTTAACTATATAATATAAAATTATAATTTATAATATTTTTATAATAAAAGTTATACGTAGCACTAATTAAATTACTATATTTTATATTATAAATTATCTATAGTTTATATATACGTTTTTAAAACGTCTATTATATATAACTTTTATTTTAAAATTTAAAGTGTATATATTTTTTATTATATAGTTTTTACACATCCTCTTAATTTATATATAGCTCTATTAAAGGTATATATTAATTAGTTTTTATATTTTTATTTTAATCTTATTTAATGTTAATATTATTAAAGAGATATTAAAAAGTGTTAACATTTAGCGGTTTTATTAGTATATTAGCTAGTTAATTTTATATAGGTATATATTTAAGATCTATTAATTTTTCTTATATTTTTTCTTTAATAAAGTAATACTATATATTAATATGTTTAGTTTTAGTATAGTGTTCTAAATTATTTACTAAATTAATTACAAGTTTATTATCTATAAATAGGTAGAACTTAGAGTTATTTATTTTTAATAGTTTATTAATTTCTAGCTAATTATATACACTTATTAGATATATATATTATAAAAAAGTAAGAGTAAAGATATAATAAATCGTTAAAGTATATAATTAATTTTCTAATGCTATCTAAGGTCTCTATAGTTTATTCTTATTCTATTTACTTTAATTATAATTTTAGATTCTTACTATTTAGTTTTACTATTATTTTATTATTTTAAACTAATATTTTATGTTAGTTTTATATTCGTACTAGTTATTTAATTATTAGCATTTTATTAATATTTTAAAAGTCTTTTCTAACTTTTAAATTAGATAATATAAATTTATAATTAAGAATATTTATATAAAATAATAACATTATAACTATAATAAAATTACTACGTTCTATATTATAAATTTTCTTAGGTGTTTATATATTTATTTATAGTTTTTATTTTATTATTTTAATAACAAGGGAAGGTAGTATTAAGAACTAAGAATATAGAACGTAGGGTAGAAAGAATAGAATAATAATAATAGAATAGGGTAGTGCTATGCTACTCGTAACTAAGGTTACGTAGTTAATACTATTCTACTAAGTATTAACATTCTACTAAGAAAGGAATAGTAAGCTATCTCTAGATGTTATAACTATCCTATCTCTAATAAATAGTAAGAAATAAAGGGATAGTATACGTATATATAGGAACTCTAGAAACCTCTATAGTTTCTAGTATTTAATCTATTTATAAATCTATTATTTAGATTCTATTAGGTCTTATTAATTTAATTAACTTATAACTTTAATACTAATAACTCTATTAATAACTTATATAACTAATACTCTTCTCTTCTCTTTATTACTTCTGTTTAAGAACTAACTCTACCTCTTAGAACTAGCTATCCTTAGAACTGTAATATATACTCTAAAGAAACTTACCTCTCTCTCTTTAAAAAAATCCCTATATAAGCTTTATAGCTAGATCTCTATTAAATTTATCTATATTCTATATAGTAACTTGCCCTTAGGCCTTTGCCTCTTATAATAAACGCGTTATCTAGTACAAGAACTAATTAAGGTAGTACATATAGGTTAAAATAATGCAGGATCTAATTTACTATAAAATTAAGCATTAACCCTAATATTATTTCTCTTTAGTATATTATATAGGCGAGGTAACTATTAATAGAGAGGATAGATAGCAAGCTCTACTTCTCTAATTATTTAACTAAGTATTTAACTAAGATAAGCTCTCTAACAAAGCTTTAATAATATTTTTAATCGCCTATAGGCAGGTATATTAAATAGTTTAATAAATAATTTAATAGCGATGGCGTTAAAAAAATAAGGTGTTTTTGTAAGTGCGCGATTAATTTTAGTACTTCATTACTAACAGTACTAAAAAAGGCTTATAGCGATCATTCTAATAACAATAATAACATAGTAGCTCTGGCTGCTTACAGCTCCAGCTCCCACACCGCGCCCCCACTTACCGCACACGGTCAACGAATTGCCCACATTTCGCGGGACAGTGTCTGCCTCTGAAGCGGGCTTCAATGAAACGGACGTCCCCAATGGACTCCGTTCGAACAGTGAACAGATCGCTTACGCCAAAGTCTTCTACGCTGGTACTTTGGAATCTCCGCCGAACAGATGGGCGTTGTCGTGGGTGTCAATCAAGACAAAGCAGGAGCGCAGAACGGGTACAACAGAGCGAAACGTCTAAGAGAAAACGCTTGGCAAGGTTGGCGAGCGCAGGCGTTCGGCGAGCAGAGCTACATGTACGAGCTCGTTGAACATACTATAACCCTCCACGAGTTCAAGGTAGTTGTTTTCAACCTTGTCAGGGACATGCGAATGTGGGACCTCCAACTGGGGGAGACGCCAGATGAACAAGCGACCAGACTGGCCCACGTGGCCGCACTCGACGCCGCCCAAGGACATCTGAATCGGATGCGAGCCACGCTACAGAAAAACGGAGGTAAACGCTCAAAAAGGGTTGGACGATCTACGTTCTGCCGAACTTACAAGAGGCGGAATGCGCAAGAAAGAGTCCCGGCCCATGAAGGCTGCCCTTGCACTGGCAAAGCGAGTGCGAGACCACCATCGGCAGCAGAACTTGGAGCTGAAAGACTGGCGACCGGCCATCGCCACCGCTTACACGGACAGGGAGGCTTTACCGCCTCAGCAGCTTCGATACATGGAGAAATCCACCCTAGTGCAACAAGATCTGTGGAAACGCTTGTGGAGAGACAACAAAGAGGACATAGGCATACAGATACTTTGGGGAGCCAAGGACACTGTCGCCATACGGGAAACCCTCGCTCAGCTACAGTATGGCAACGATTTCGCCCAACTCATCTTCGCCTCGACATGCGATGACTTGTACCGGTACTCAATGTACCGGTACTCAGTCGGGGATAAGCTTGAAGCTCGTCGCTTCAACAACATGATGCTGGAAAATGGAGTGAAGGGCGTGCATTTGGAGTTCGAGGACCAGCGCTGTGACTAGGTGTACGGAAACCTCCGAAGCATCCTCAACCATTCAACCATATCGACGACCATCCGGGTCTCGACATTGTTCAGGTACCAGCCACGGCGATGGTTATGTAGTTACGACGCAAAGAAGTCAAAGTCAACACCATCAAATTCCAGCGGAAAAGACCCCTGGTGGCTTGATCCGTTGGTGCAGATTAGGGGAACCTTCTTTGGACACATACAATCATCACTTCTATCGGTATTTTCATCTTTCATTAAAAGTTGGGGAGGATGCGGGGTATTCATTTTTGTCTTTTTGGATCGGGTGGTCTCAGGGGTTTTAGAGTCGTCTCGACAATGGCGAGTGGTGGTGCAGGCATTCCAAATAGACTCACCGGCAAGTTTCCTTTAGACCATATAATAAACACTCCTTTTGATTGCTTTTCGATTGCTTCCTTCGAAGCACTCTTACTTTTTGACAGCTTCACACAAAGCAATCGAAAATCTTCGAGCTTTCTCTAAAATTACTTGAGTACCTGATTTCACGCAGGACTGAGCGACTTTTAGGCGTGTGTTTATCTGCTGTTGCGGACTAGGTCCAATTGCTCCAGAGACTACTTATAGAATAATCCAGCCCGAAGCCCGGGTATCACTTTTGGTTGGGGTTGGTAGAAAACTTGTTCCTTCCAATGGCGTTCTCTCGAGGTTGGTGAAGAAACAAAATCGGGCCAGGAGCACACTCACCGATCGCTATGTTTATAACGATTCGCATCGTGGAAATGACAATGTATCGTGCATTTGCGTGAGGATCTGAAGCGGTGTCTAGCTTTGGTGTTCGGGTTTCCCTCCACAATGACTGGATGGGAGCCCACCGAGTAAGCCCAACTATGGGTCGTGATCACGCATTATTCGTGTGAACCTAGTCGGCCCGAGCCCCTTTAGCCTTGTGTCGCCGGTTTCGTGTTAGTTAGTCTTCGCTTAGCGTCAGATTTCCCCACCTAGAGCCAACAATGCGCTGATATTTTTTGTATCAATATATATACTTTAAATTGTCTTCTTCATAACAATAATAGCAATAACAGTTGCGGGTCTTATGGTCTAGTGGTATGAGTACGTTAAGATATCATGTTCTCAAGCATCAAAAATAATACTAATTATCCTCAGTTCTCGCTTAGGGTTCACCTGAGCATCTTGCGAGAGGCCCCGCGTTCGAATCGCGGTAAGACCCATTTTTTTGCTGCTTGCTGCTGCTTGCAAGTATATACACGTGTCAGCGAACATCCTACGCGTTGTCTGCATGTATAACGATCATTTTTGAGCTCGTGGTGCCCCAGTAAGGGAATATGCCAATTTGCACCCCAAGTTCCGGAAGATCGAGGGAAAATGATGGTTATCCTTGGAAAAACTTTTTGTGTGTCATTGTGCACACATATATGTAACAATCTGTGGATTCAAACTTCATTTGTGGACGACGTTTGGAGGTCTCGGTTGGCGGGTGTGTGCGCAGGCATCCAACCGTTGGGCGCTGCGCGCCGAGAGCGAGCCGAACCCCAAAATTTTCGCAGCACATCACAACCCAATACCAAACCAATTTTTGTCTTGCTTTGTGTCTAGCGACGACGCACGAGCACCGTCATTACGTGATGAAGGCGCGATCCTATTGAAATTAAGACTACAATTTCGAATTTGCGGACAACCCCCGGAATTCTTGAATTCTGTCACATTTTCAGAACCGGTACATCTCGCTGATTAGACCTAAATATGAAGATAAGTCCTAGTCTACGGTCACTGGACTGTGCAAGAAGATTGTCAGTGCTCTCTTTGGTCAAGCCCAGCGCCTCGTCTCAGTGTGAGCGGACTTAGGCGTCCACCCCAATCCAGGTGTGCTATCATATACGGGAACGAGCGCTAGGAACGGTGGTAACGATGCCACCTATAGTACTACAGATGATCAACTTTTTCTTCTGTCATTAAGAATGGACACTACCCAGGTACTTGGTCTTTGGCTTATGACTCTGTGTCATGAGATCCATCTCGACCGTAAGAAAAATCGGCCTCTGTAAAAGGTAATAGGCACTGAAACCTATCTGGATAGACTTTACTGATATCATTGCCGTCTTCACAAGCATAACTGCAGCCGGACCCGTTTCCAATAGCGGAAAGCGTACGCTTACCTATGGTATACGGAACAAATACTTAGAAATCGCTCTCCTAACCAACATTGGCTAATAAACACAGTTTTACGAATGGAAATAAGAAGACTTTAGTCAGTAAGGACTCTTGGGACCGTTTGGCGATCTACAAGACGGCTCTAGGACTCCCACTCCACGAGTGGCAGCAGAAAGAGTTAAAGTGGTCACAATACCACCTAAGCCCATAAGACTATATATTGCGCCGCAGTTCGCAAAAGAAAAGAAATTCTTTAGCTTCATTTCAACTTTCAGCTTACATACTGAGAGAATTAACCTTTGCGATTCTAACTCCTGTCTCTTCAGCCACCATGCCAACCGTACAGTGGTTCAAGGTCAAATCGGCCAATTAGTTAACCTCGCAATTTGTTATATTAGAAACATTAGTTGTTAACCCGGATTTCGCAAGGGGCGCCCGTAGGAGGCGGCTGAAAAGCGCAGCGTTTTCGCTTCTCCCCCATAATTCTTGACCCGGGTGCAACTCGCCTCTTTTAGCCACGTCTCTGTCACGAGGACGCAACGAGTAGGCCTTTAGTTCTTACAGTAAAGACTAATTAATTACCGCGTGCAATATCCAGGTAATATAAGACGTTGTGTATAGAATAGAAATAGCAAAATAAGTGCGAAGTAGAAATACTTAGAGGGGTAGTCTATGCTTCTAGTGCGCAGACTAACTGCTAGTTAGAGTAAAGTTTAGAGAATAGTTCTAGGCGTACTAATAATAGTA